GCATCAAAGTTCTCACGTTGAAGGCCCTCAATTTAAGTGATTGACGAGGCTTCAGAATCTGCAATCCATTCCGTGGTAAATCACTTACTATTTGGCAATGACCTTTGGCGAGCGACATCCAAGTTGCTTGAGGGACTATTACAGGTCGGAAGAAGGGGTAAAGGGATAGGTTTGGCAACGGAAGACAAAGAGTTAAACTAAGGTTGGGATATCTGAGCAGTAGCCCACTTATCACTACCCACCCTGCTCGATGCAATGGGCAGCGCGGTCCTGATTATCTTTCGCGACGACCGATGCAGTATGAAGTTATTCTTATTTTATGTATGCATTGGGCCAAAATCAGGAGTGTTAATTCGTACACATTCTTGGTTGGTTTGGAATCAGGGTTTTCAGCCTACTCCCATAGGTGAACTGACAGTGATTCACCAACCTAGTTTTAACATGTGATGTTGGCTTTCCTTCTCTAACTTTGGCGGAAAAACATCCGCCACGAAAAGGCAGTGGGTAAAATTTTCTCATCAGAAGCTCCTTGAGATGCTTAGTTGTATGGAAGCCTTTCGCGAGGTGCAAGAGAAGGATGATCAACCAAAACCGGAGACACCTACCCCCGACCGTACTGAGGCTTTCGGAGGCATATTAATGTGTTTCGTCTTAGTAGCTGAAATTTTGCTTCAGTCGGGGAGGTAGAGTTTGAAAGTTGATCCCGTTTGCTTGGTCTTTGGGTTGTGATCACTTGCTCTTCACTGTTCACAATAAATCATCGGTGGCGATGAATTAGCGGCGTAGGTCACCATATCAATCCGTAATTTGTTTGATCGAATCCCAGGACGTCGACGACAACGACGATCACCATCGCCATCGCTGTGCTTTCTCACCTCTATATTTCAGATGGCAACCGTTTGATTGGATGCTTAAATCAAAAGAAGTGAAAGTTAGTTGCCTAATCATCCAGACTATTCAAAGTGATACTATACAGTGAATTAGAGTTTTAGGTTTCTGTAAAAGTGTACCATACGTTGTCACTATTGATCTTTGTCGCTTGCTATTTACCTCCAGTTTGCTCCCACCTCCATATACCCATATGAATTTATTCTCATCTATCCATACTGCTATTATCTCTACCCTCGGTGATCAGGTCGTTCGTTTGTGCTTCTTCGATCAAAGGAAATGCTCGCTGTCTTGGTAGCTTGCGGGTTCACGGGTGAGTGTTGATGACCATATGCGCCTCCTATTCTTCCCAGTTCATGATCATTTGAATGCAAACATAGTTTGCGAGAATCGTCTTGTGTCGTGTCACTGCCACCGAGGGTATTGGTTCTAAATGTCATTTTCTGGACCAAGAAAAACACAGCTCACTCATTGTTCGTAGATGTGTTGTTAAGCGATGAATGAAATAAACCTGGTGTGAATTAGGTGAGGAAAGGAACTCGTTCCAGAGGTACGAGTGTCCGTCATTTGTTTATGTACTGGATATTAGCATAATTCCAGAATATTTCGATAGATATGTTTCCCTAGACGGGCGTGCCCATGTCCTTAATCATTGATGGTCGAGGCAAATGCCGATTCAATAAATCAATGGTTCTTCCTAGCACAATTTCGCACACATCTTGTCTGATTCTAATGGGGTTCGCCACCACGAACCCTCGACATAGGTGGTGATGCAATTGTCTGATAATAGTTACCCTCTGAGCTGGTAAACTGTCGCGTCTCTTGGTGCTTGTTTCACCTGTTTGGTGCTCATCATTCACCCAACTCTCACCTGTGGCTTCAACAAGCTGCAGCATGCATCAACGGCTACCCTTTGGTGAACCTCTTGACAGATATGCTGAGGAAAACAGAGGCCAAACGTTTTCAGTGAGATGTGACGTCTGGCATGCATATGGACAAGCATGCATATTAACACGGCTGCTCTTCAATGAGCGGACGAGGTCTACTGCACCGTCTTTCGTCTGTAGAGCAATCTGTTCAACATAAGGATGCACGAATGTGTGGGCTAGCATTTACAATTACCGAATGATAACTCATTACGAGTAGTCGTGCACTAACACTCTACTGCCACTAGTGTTATATATTCACAAGACAGTGCCGGAACGTGGAGAGTTGTCTATCAAGAACAACGATAAGAGTATCGATAAATTGATGTACATACTACTAAATGTCTCTTTTGGAACAGGTCATCATAATTCCCACCAGTAAGCAGGATAATTAATGGATTGGTCCGACGGTAGATGCGCATTTTATGTAGTTACAATTTTGAACACAGTAATTCGCTCTGGGAGGTCTTTCATTTTTGACCCTTGTGAGAACCCGCCAATCACATTCTTTTGCGCAATTCAAGCATACTACTCACAAATGTGGGTAGTACCTCACAACACTACTACGTTGCAGTCAGCACTTGGTTATGTAAAAACTAGAAGTACGCTTTCGCAAAACGCCGAACAACGATGGATAAATTCCTTGTAGAGACCCCCAACAAACTCAGTCATATTGATCGAGGTTTACCGTCTCCAAGGTGTTAGTCGTAGTCGATTGAAGGTTGGAGCATGCGGGTGCGGCGTAGGGAAAAATATCTGCATGATATTTCAAAAAAAAATTAATTAGCAAAATTTAACCGTCCAATTTGAATTAAACATTGTTTTATCCTATTTTGCCGTTCGTTATGTCCCAATGAGATTTTCATTCCTTTCTCGTCACAGTATCACCGGTTAGATAGCGTCACCGGTGCGTGGGCAGATTTACCCTCCGCTTTTTCAATTAATTTGCTTGTTTCTATGAGTACGTATACGCATATCTCGGTGACAGCGTTGTCTTCACTCCTGTTTCAGGTCTGTGTGCGACATTTCAGTCTAGTCTGATCGCCACTTGTATCGGTCACACAATGGTGTTCGGCTCCAGTGCCAAAGCGTACATCGGTTTGGTTGGTGTGTTCGTTGGAATCGGTCAAATCCTTGGTAAGTTCTCCCCCACACACAGTTGCTCGTGCTCCTTGTTCTCACTGATAGAATTTAAACAAGGGACCTCTACCATTCCCAGCATGCACAGTCTGGTGTTTCGAACCCAATGGTGCTCTACTTTACTTATAGATATTTTGATCCGGTTTGCGCGTTACTTTACATGTTTCGTCTTAATAGCTTGGGGTCATATGCCTTTCCAAATAGTTACTCGCATTTCACTCACAGTGATTAGTGATGTAGGATAATTTATATTGATTGATTTGAACTGACAGTCCTTGGGACGTCACCTGCTGTCGGGCCAAATGAACTGACTATCACTGACGACGACCCCTGAATAAACATGAATTGGCAATTCGGTTCAGCCATGGTATGATATGGTATGATATGAGCTGGTTGGCACACTGGTGACGCACACGCCTTCCATGCGATGGGTTCGGAGTTCAAAACCCGGACGGGGTGGTGAAAATGCACTACTGATGAGCTCTAATAAGAGTGAAACTCGAGTCTAGCGCTTCCGAGTGTATGGTTGAATCAATGAACTGAGGATTGCGCGTGAAGGATAGTCAGTCCAAATCAATCAAATAAATACTGGCATCATTTGTTTTACTCTATACTATACTACAGGTGTTGACCAAACTCGTGCAACATCACCTCCATTTTGGAAATCCATTTCAGCTTGCAATATCATACTTATATATAGATGGCTGTGTTAAGTGTATCTGTTACTGACTTTATCTCCAATATCTATGTTCTTAATTCTTTTATGTCACCGTTTGAATTTGCGTGACCTTGAGTGTCGCGATAGAATTTATGGTAGTTCAAAAGTTGCACCTCTGATTTAGAAAATGTTTTGGGCAAAGCACCATGGGAGCTCATTCTTTTTAAAAGATGATTCCTGTCCCATGAGATTGTTTATTAAGTTCAGTATATGTATCGTAAATTGCTTATCTCTTTTCATTCAGTGCACAGTAAATAAGCAAATTAATGAAAATATTCTAGTTTAAGTAAATTGATAAATTATTTGGCCACAAACAACTCACGCATTATCTGCAATGCTCGAAGAACTGAAAACATGGTTCAAGAAACACACAAGTTAATCTTCGAAAGTTGACCTTGAGGTGTGCGGCTCATCGAATAAGCGTCCTGGAGTGTCACCNTGCCCAAACCGGATGAAACTTCCAAAAGGTTTTGGCATATAATTGAAGCCGAGGGGCAACTTAATCGAGAAGCACATAATTCTGATGATTCAGTTAGCGTCTTGTGGAAGTGCTTCAGTTTGAACATAAGTCCAATTTATAACATATTCAACGAAATTTCTCTAAGACATCGAGAGGGAGAAAACCAGCCATATCAAAGTAAGANTGCACAAAACCGATCTGGAGGATAGTCCGGGCTGATTAGCTGTTTTCCCCCCACGCTTTCGATTGGAAAATGGTTGCCCAATTTAAAATGCAGCTGAGACCACGTGACATAAAGCCGTTATTGAACGCCCAACGAAGCAGAGCACGTATTGATTTTACCGACAAATTCAACTCGCGTCGCCCGCCCATTTAGCAATAGGTTTATCTCACTGGTGGCCAACGAGTAGTTCAGCATATTGTTGAAGCTGATCTACTGAGCTAGTTTTCTAATGAATACCTTATCTTTTTACCTGTCAAAAGAAGTAAATATCTATCCCGCCTAACGAGTTGGAAGTGAAGTGAATATTGAGTGCATCGTTGTTGGTCTCCTGCATACGCCAATATGGATATAGCAAAATTTCTTGCACTGGTAAGGGAGGTTTTTGATAACTGTCACTCCCAACATGCATACACGGAAGTCATACTTTTCACACATGAAGTTTAATATATTATCTCGCTTGAGGTTGGTGGCAGAAAACGGTTAGAGTTAAATAAATATTATTTTTTCGCGTTTATACAGTTTCTAGAGGGGTTGATTTCAATGTCAAATTCGTTCTATTACCGCGCAGCAGCTGGGATTTTAATTTAATCGAAAACATTTCCTTCTATCTGAAACGGGGATAAGTTAGCTACCTTGCCTTACCTTGGTCGCCAGTGGTAAGGCTGTGTGGTGTATTAGAGGAAACTTGCAAATTCTGTTTGGCAGTCAACTTGGTGGATTCCATGCCTAAGTGACTGCCTGGAGTGCTCAAAAATGAAGGAGGGCAAATGGAACATGAACGAGATACCCGTATAAAGTCCATGAGTCATTTTGCTAAGTAAATTAAAGTTACATTCTCTACTGTGACTTTGTTATCTTACAACTGATGCGCCAGCAACCGTTGTCAAAATCGTGAAATTGTACATTTTAATGGCATATGGCTAACAGAAGCAGTGACATAAGTGGGTATTATATCAGATATGTTGCGTCTAATGTGGGGCAATATCATATTCAATCCCGTGAATGAGGCTGGAAAAACAAAGCATTGAGAGGAACAAATGTGATGAAAATCAGGATGTTGCACGAGTTTGGTCGATACCTGTATACCCAATAGGAGCACTAATTGACCCATCTAGCTCGTAAGCTTCTGTGGGACTGGAACTGTTGACTCAAGTTACAATTTTTATCAATAATATAGTCTCGTTAACCCTTTTTCATCCTTTCTTCTACTTACTGGTGGAAATTCCAGACAATAAATACGTATTTTCCCATTATTATTATTATCTGACGTAAAAAATGAAGAAACTACAACATTTCTGGTTATGACTACGCATTTCTTAGGTATCACGAGCTAAACAATTGATCTGGGAGCGCATCAAACATTTGGTAGTCCGCATATACAAATTTTTATGATTGTTGATGAACAGTGATTTTCTACTCAAATCATCCTCAACGTGGCACTGTACTCACTAGATTCCACATGCTTGAAACATGTTCTTCGATGTCACCAACTAATATGCCTACGATGACGTAAGCCACATACTCGCTGCCCAAAGTGAAATCTAATTGCTAACAAAGCTTCCATGCACTTTTCTGTATGCGAACTGGCTTGAAAACTGACTCCTTTTTTCTTTCAGCTGCACCATAGTGCTACAGTAGCTCTATGAGCGGTAGAGAACTCGGTTCAGTATTGATTAATCCTTCTTCATTCACACCATGCCTTCTGGTCTCAAGTTGTTTTTGCTACTCACCCAACCCATGGACAGTTTCATTGACTGTTTGCTTGGCCGACCGATTCGATACTAACCATAAGTCATACTTATGTGCGCATTGGTGCATACGCGCTTTTTTATCGCTGACAATTTCCGCGTTTATCAACGCATGCTTACTGGCTTTTTCGTGTTTTTGTGCTACTGGCTCATGCTAAATTCCTTAAAAGTTGTGGCACCTCTGACAGCTGGTGGGACTCCATTCTAACCCCCCAAAAGTACTTACGGGCCATGCCCAGTAAAGCACCTGGGGAAATCCCACTCGCTGGCTTTGGCATGTCGCCTAAATGGATCCAATGTGTGAGAACAAGAAATGCCATTTAGAATATCCTATGAAAGTTTTAAGAAGACATAGTAAAATAATAATAATGATTTTACTTGCATTTTATTTAATAAATAAACAAAGGTAAAACCAATTTTCAGGATGGAACCTACGACCAATCAAAAGCTGCCCGGGGAAAACGTAGAAATAAGAAAGATGGTCATTCTAGGCAGGATTCAAACTCAGGACCCACTGCAATGTTGTGTAGACGACATTGACCTCTTAAGCACCGCTACCTTGCAAATGCAACTGAGTATCCTTTATTGTATTTACTGTGATCTTCTATCTACACTGCCGCCATTTGGCTTTTATCGACCTTCAGGCGTTGTCAGACGATGATCAAGTTTTACGGAGCTTTACTATGTGAGATCTGCTGTGCTGTTTTGAATTGGTTTCTACATTATGGTCAGTCCAATGGCCTTTTTCGATTTAATTTCGAAGCATGTATTGAATGTGTTATGGTGTTATGGATCGATGATAGAATTTGCTACCTGACAACAGACTGAAAATGAGCTTGTAAAGTGTTTATGACTTCAAGTGCTTTGTTAGATAAACTGTGAAAATTGGAAATGCGTGTTCAATAAGTGATATAAACGGTCGAAAGATGGTCGTTACTTCTATCGAAAATCTTCCCTTGAAGATGGGCAATTTACGGGGGAATTATTGATGTCTCGTTACAGCGTAGTTTAGCAATCTAGAAGAAAGACCATCTGCAGCCGATTTGTGTAGAACGAACAGCTCTTTCAACAAAATCTTTTGGCAAAAATGTGTCAAAGCAGACGTTATCGACCAAGACCGAATATTTGATGTATTTCATGTTTTACTCGATCATGTATCCGACAGCTATCTCTTAGCCCACCAACGTGTCGCGCTCCGGAAACGATCCCCAGTATCTTTGTCGTTCTGAACCAGGGCTGATCTGGCCAAATCATGGAACTCGGTTTGTAACAAGAAGCATTTCAAAGATATTCACATTCATGCATCATTCGGGTTCCTTGACAAGTATTCCACAGTTGCTTATGAGCAACTACCCATGTTGTTAAACCTCTGATTGCATTTTATTTCGCTTCATGCCACCCTAATTAGCGAGAACATTGTCAGCAGCGAATGATAACTGACCAAATCAGGATCGTCATGGGTCTTTGATTTTCGAGAACCGTGAGACGAATGTTAATCTTTAAGCACCAACACCATTTGAGGAATCATTGGCACGCATAAGGCCATTTCTCGGGGTTCACACAAAACGAAGGTGCGTAGATGCTCAAGAAAAAAAAACCTATAAATTGTGAGCTTTGTTGACAGTATGCGAAAAGATGTTGCCACTGAATTCCAAAAAACACCGGTGTAGATGATTTTTTGAGTTGATGAATGTTTTTTTGTGATGCACGTAATCAACGTGACTGTTCATCTTTTGTGACCAGACATTTTGTCGCCATCAGACTTGACGTTATCTCATGACCTGTTTCCTGCATTATCTGCTAACCCTAACCTCTACCCATTCAGGCAGTCTTCTAGTCCAACTACGACGTTGGATCCCGTCCACTGGACTACTCACAATTTTCGGCTACCCATGTGCTCTGCTTAGCTCGTTTCTCTGTCTGATCATGCTTCCGGCTGATAGTCCCATGCGCGACACAAGTGCGCCCACATATTTCACTCCGAAGTAAGTGGGTGTATGCGTCAGTGGAAAAGTGATTAAACACCATCTACCCATCTTTGTACATTAGGTCAGTGTGACCAGAATATTAAGGCATCACCATTGTGCGAATTTTTTTATAAATTAGAATGTTCTGTTCTGATCAACTCTTCCTTTTTCCACAGGCTTGAACACCGCGTATAGTCTAGTATCTTGCGTTAGGGTTTCATTCCCAGGGGGTTCACTCATTCTCAAATGGCTGATGCATTTTTTTACTTCCGATGGTAACTGGTATGTGATGATCGCCAAAAACACTGGACCATTGTTTCGTCGTATTGTGAATCTTAGGCTGTGCGTACGTTTCTTGTCTCCGGTGGGACTGGAACCTTGGGCATGGGACTATAATCCCTCGGCCCCGATCAATACGATCGATGACCAACACTTTTAATCATCGTCTATATCGATTTGAATGTTAATTTTGCACCGGTCTATTTGATTTTTCGAAAAAAATTAGCTGATCACCGTTCATGGCCTGCGTTGAAAGAAGTCATAATTACGATTAAAACAATCTTCGCTATCCTTTGAATTATTTTTTTATCAGTGATAGCGTGACTTTTATTTGATTATGCTGCTGTTATCCACAATGCATTCTCTTTGCAACCCTCCATGACTGATACCACAAATCTTTGAGTTTAATGCCAACTTTCTTTAAATCTCTAAATTATGCCTAATGGAGCAATTCAGGTCGTTTTCCATAATGCAGCCGACCCGTAATGCCTGAAGGGTATTTTACTGCCACCACAACATTCCTATTTTGTGACCGATGAGGTACATTGTCGTCCGGCGCACCACCACGCCGATCCTAGTGGAACTATATGATTCTCCACTCCTAGTTTCCCGGCGTCGTGGTTGACCGGGATTATTGAAAAACATGTTGCAATCCAGGACTCCACGTCTTTCGTGCACGAGTTTGACTCGTTTCAGTGCATATGTACTGAACATGACAACAGTACATGTGCTCGGTCGTGTGTTCCAAAAGTATGAAAGCAACTGTAGTTGTTTTGAAGATCTTTTGTTCGACAGAGCCTGTCTTGGTTTTGAACCACGAATAGTTCTTGAGGAAGTTGGCTTGTCTTAACCACGACGAACGAGAAAACCAAAGCACAAGGCGTTCGTTTTTTCGTTCAAGCTAATTTCCTCAATAGGCATAAGCACGATGCTGACTGAGGAATTGTGTAAACCACGGAATAAACTTAACAGTTCAGGTTTTTGATGCAACTGCAGAACTGTCTTCGTGTGGTTGGAATAGAGTTATAGCGTCCCGAAATCGTAAACATCAGAGGTTCAACAGCAATCTCAGAAAATTTAAATGGGGCTGAAGTACAAGTGCTTGGTCGATACTTTGAAGAGCCGTTCTTGGGGTTGGGTCCTATCCAGGCTACCCTACAGCAGTCCGGGATTGTTCCGGAGGACATACACTAATTGGTTAAGTCAACAATCAAGGTACTCGATACAGGTTTTCAATTAAACGGGGGCTAATGAGTTAGGTCCATTGGCCTTGTTCGACTAAAGATGTCTCAAAACTTTGAGAACCTCGGTCGGTGAAACGGGGTTGATGTTTTCAGTAGAAAACAATTAGTCGGAGAAAAAACTTGTGTCGAGATGGCATCGGCAAACATTCGGATTTCCGAAGAGAGCCTGTCAGGGGAAATGCAAATTTTTGCTAGCACGATTTGGTGAAGTTTTGCCGACAATGCACTTGATATTACTGGCAATAAAACGAAATAAACAATGAATGTTGTTGCACAACATACGGTTGATAAAAGTAACCCTTCCTCAACATCTATTCACTAACTGGGGAAGTAATAGAGCAGGTGGATAAGTTTTGTTATTTGGGCAGCTACTTCTCACCCACTGAACGCATCACGGATGAAGCGTCAGCTCGCATACAGTAGGCTCGAGTGACATTTGCTAACTTAAGACGTCTGTGGCGCCGTCGCGACATTTGGTTGTCTGTGAAGGGTCCAGTGTATGTCGTGGCACTTCGGCCAGTTCTGCTATACAGTGCAGAGGATTGGTCATTAAGAAATCAGGATAAAGATAGACTGTCGGTGTTTGAACACCGCTGTCTACGCAGCATTTCACGAATCTGGTGGGGTAACCGGACGAGCAATGATGAGGTTAGGCGTAGAGTTTTAGGTAATCGCGGTCGTCCACTAAAGCAGGTAGTCGACCTCCATAGATTATGTTGGTTGGGACATGTATTACGCATGTCACCAAATAGGTTGCTACGGCGAGCGATGTTCGCCGAAGCAGACACCGAGTGGAAAAATCCAAGGGT